GATGACTAGCGTGGGGTTAAGCGTGGGCAGATAGGGTCATGTGCGTGTTCTGCCCCCCCGCCCCCCAATCGTGAGCGGGGCGGAGCCTCTTCTGTACTCTCTATGCGGATGTCATACTCTCGTTTTGGCATGCAGAGAATCCTGCATATAGAACAGTGCCAAAGGAAATTCGCGTCGCGGACGCTACAACAGCTCAGAAGCATCTACAATCCAGTGGCATCCAGGAACTGGCCGTTTGTTTGATGTGCGTACGGTCCCTCTCGCTCTGCACACCCGGGTGCTGTTATGCCGGAGAGCATTACCGCAGGGCCTTCTATGCACGCCACACCTTCCCCTGCCTCTGCTCCCTATTGGATGGGTTCCGCAACGAGTCTGTGGTCGCAGACAGCGGGTCAACTCGAGGGCTTGTCCTAGGGTCGCTTAGAGGCCTCGTCGAAGCTGGGATATTAGGCCGGACGGAGGCCAGGCGAAGGGAGCACGCTGGGCCTTCTGCATACTCAGTAGCACGAGTTTCAAGAGAGGAAGGGGCGGGAGAAAGAGGAAGCCTGTCGACCACGGCCCGGCAGGCCACGATTTGGCTAGAGCTGCGATTGGTCTGCGTCTTTCTTTTCCTCTTCTCGGAGAGGTTTGTGTCAGTTAGGCTACTTCGGTTGGCCGACAACGACAAATGAATCTCAAAGCAGCGACAGCAGCCGCCGTGGCCACAGACCCGACACAATGTAGCTCCATCTATATCAATCGGTCAGAAGAACTGGTTCTCTGAAAGAGCTCCCGCAGTCGCGTCTCGTCCAGCCTACCTAAATCCAACAACCACCACGAGCCTCGTCGAACCCCCTCGAACCCTCCCGCCAAAGTAACCGACTTGATTCTGCCAGGGTTGAGGTAGCTCCGTGGCCATTTGAATCAGACGTCAAAGACAAACAGAAAGAGAAAGAATGAACGACCGACGACAATTGAACCTAAACCATGTCGGAGGGCCGCTGCAAGCCTTAGAACGACCACTTGGTCGTTGAACCAAGGCCTGAATGTCTCGCAAGGGGGCAGAAGGCACGTTTGCCCCGTTCGATCACTATTTCCACCACCGCCTTGCCACAGTCTCTGTCCGTAGTTGGGGAACAGTGGGGCAAACAAAAGGGAAGAGCTTTCGATTTCCTGCTGCGGCAGCGGCGGTCGTGGTGGGATATTGGCTTCTACAACTATTCACAGGTGAAAACCATTACAGCAGCCTATGCGGTTCTTACGTTGTATGTACCAGCCTATTGCGGCGATTGGTGTGGGCTAGTTGGTACGAATGTATGTACAATGGGGCATAAATACGCCGGGGACTCGGTATTAGAGGTCGATCACTGGGAGAGGAACGAACGCAAAAATAACCCGGATGTCATCAACCAGATGACAATGAAAGCCGAAAAAGGCCGGAACAACAAGAGGAGAACAAAGGCCAGAAAGGACAGCTGAACCAGCGACGATACCAAGAGGCAGATATGTGTGCATAAGCAACAACAGACAAAAACGATAGCAGACCCTCGTTTGACAGTCATGGGGACATGGGCTGGAAGACACATCGGCCGACAGGCGCAGGTCGTAATTGAATAAACCTAATCTATGTTATTTCATTGTCGCCGCAGCTGCATGCGTCTAGGGGCATTATTGCCATAGAACCGTTGTTACGCGCTGTTGCCCATCAGGTAGATACAAGGTTCCTGTGCGAAGACGTCGCTGAAAAGGTTAACACTTCGAATCACGTCGGCATAATTGACCAATAACGATCAAGCGCTGCTGGAAATTGCTAACCGTCAAAGAAGATAATCAGACCTGTCCTATACAAAGGTACTGGGTATGCTTTTCGTCATAGACAAAATAGGTCGGCGTTTAATTGGCGACCTTGTACTATCTATGCAATGGATGCATAGTGGCAGAATTTTTTCTCAGTGGCCGCAATAAGCTGAGCGTCGAGTTGAATCTATGGAAAATGTACCTTGTTGCAGATGACCTGTAACCATATTGCAAGTCGATTTCACAGAACTATTGACATTCACATTAAAGTTATCGATTTATATCTATTAAGGTAAGTAAGTTGCGTCGATCGGGAAGCGCCCCCTGGTAGGTTGTTGAGTAGCAGCTGTACTAATCGTTACGTGAACCTACGTTGAAAATGACGTATTATAACGTCAAATGCAATTAGATATGCTGTGATCACTTGGGTCGACCCCGCGCGTATCTACAAGGCGCATTTTAGCATTCTGTCATACATTATAGCGCCACAGGGAGAATCAGCTAGGTGCTTGTGTCGGCATTGGAGAAATTTACGTTTGGGAATTTACGACGTTGCTGGCATCTCAATTATAGATTTCGATATCTTGCCATAATAATATATCGTTCATTTTTGATCCCAAAAGATGATTCATCGGCATATATAGCAGCGTAAGATTTTCTTCTATTGAATTGTCGCCTGGTCCGTCTGGTGTCACGGGATAGTTGGTGCAAACCGTAATGCTTCAATCTTCAGTTCGGTGTGCTACCAGAGACGGGTATAGCATCGAGCTCATTATTCTAACCGCCCTAATGCCACTATTGCTCGCCAGTGGCTCCAACTAAGAGAAGCGCAAAATCTATATAATACGCATCAATTTAGTATTACATATGTGATTTGACTGTAAATCAGCTAAAACGAAGAGATCCTCTTAACAAAAGAGCCTCTACCTCACACTCGTGGTCATTACTATCACAGAAGCTTATTAAAACTATTTGGTAATAAAGATGGCTAACATTACATTGACGGTGTACGTTGAAGTGTCATTATAATAATAACAGTGTCGTTATAATAATAGTGCACACATACAGATAGAAATATCTATACGCACCCCCCAAAAGTAAGCCCGCACCGGACCATACTGAGGTGCAATTAAACGAAGATGCGGCCTTCCCTGAAGGCGAGCACTAGTTTGACAGACTAGGACTACGTTCTACTTTCAAGTCAGTGCGACAATGAGTAAAGCCCGATTGAGTTGATGAATATGTCAAACTGGCAACGAAATAACTCACTAAGACGCTCCTATGAAATAGCACCAAACTACGGAACGGTGATGACGAAGAACAAAGCATCTAAGAGGAACTAGCGCATTTCTGTGTCCTTAGAATACGTAGGCCGCATGCGACAACCAAACAGGCGGCATCAGCTCTTGTCTGGTCCGCCACCGTCCGAGAATGTGGTGTCGCTGTGAATTGAAGGGGAAGGCCCCGCCAGGTCGAAGGGACATGCTAATTAGTGCTTAGCACGAATCAGATATGGCTGGCTGATAAAGGCGAATCTGGTCTATCAGTAATTGTTCAGAGCGAGCTATAATGAACTACGTACTACTTCAATTAAAAGGATATAAGTAAATGACGACTACGGAAAAACAATCTACCATTCAGCCAATCAAAGTTATCATGAATGTCGAGGTTTAGGGACTATTTTGTGTTCAATCTGCGAAGGCTTGCAAACAAGGATGATCGGTCCTGCGTTAAAGATGTAATGCATTGTATTAAATCAGGTATCACTGTTTATACGATAAATGAGCGTTGGTTGGAGAATTTAAGTTTGATTTTAGTCGAAGTTGCATGCCGACATTTGTAAACAAGACGGATCTCGATCGTATTAGATATACGGTTCATTGATTTAAACAGCTACGTTCAACTGTAACCGGCCTTTAACTATATTCAATTCACAATTGCTATAATCAAGTAAGTAAACTTCGGAAAAAGTTTGATCTCAGACTAACCGAGTTGTTTATTTGAACGAGTACACCTTTTAGACTATACTTGGGATGTTGATTGGGTTAATGGCCAGCTTACGATAGATCCTGTTCTATAAGTGAAAATTATTAAGGCACACGTGCCTGGAGTAGGCTAGCGGTCAATCGCATATGGTTTTACCATGGCATGCAATATGATTGATCTCACAGTATAGTATACGTAGATTACTACACTGTGTATGTAGTACTGTACAGCTATATGCATGTAGATATGCTCCAGCGTGCACAGTCGTTTATAGGCCATATCTATACTATCTCATTCAGTCGATGTCTCACTAATCCAGCCTGCCCGAACTAAAATTATTAATTATATGAGCATAGCGTTTAGTATAGCTAAACCGTAAATACACATATATTTTTTTTATTATTATATGCATGTTTATGATCTTATCCCGTCCATATATCACACATCCGTTTTGTCTGAACTACTACAATGATTTGATCTGAGATAAGCAGCAATTATTACATATTCTACTGTTAATCAGCGAAATCAATCTGGTTCGTAGACGTTCCCTTTTCAATCGCCTACCCTTCACACTATCACAACAGTCGCGGCGTTGTTGCTCGCTTTTCGAAGTCCGGCGATCAACTGACTTGCCCGTTCCTTAGACGACCCCCGACCCTCGACTGTGGCGCCATCTCGTGGCTGCCGATCACGTCCCACTCACCCCGATCGACCCTAGTAATCCCAAAACCCCTATTTCCACTACGGCGGTCGCCCCCGCCGCTCCCACTTTTGCACCCTTCTCAGACCCCCTGACGTCAGTTCCCGCCAGCTATCCTAATGCCTGCGTTGCTATTCCAATTGTCTTTGTCCTCACAATAGGCCTGGTTGGTCCCATCCTCGTCTATCCTTATGGCCAGCCCCTGGAATCCACACCTCGGACCGCCACATCCTTGGTAGTATTCCTATAAACCGTCAGACGGACGGCACTTCTCGGCAACTTGGTAACGGTATATAGGCAAGAAGGTCGCGCATACGTCACCGGACAACGGCAGTTCTAGCTTGTGTTAGGAGAGCCGTATTCCCGTCGTACAGCACAAAGGTACAGGGACAGAGGGAAAAAAAAGGATGAAAAAGTGAGTGAAAATGTATATATGAGTGGGCGTGTGTATGTGTGCGTGTGGGTGTGTGAGAGAGAGAGAGAGAAAGAGAGAGAAAGGAAAACAGAGAAAAACAGCAAAACCATGCCAACGAAAGGGTTAAAGAAAGAACGGCATGTGCACTGCAGTGACAACCAAGGGACAACTCGGCAAGACGGCGATGTTGGAAGCGGAACAGGCAGCGGAAAGGGGGCTTTTGGGACTGTGGATGACTATAAGAAATTGTGGAGTAAGAACTTTAGGAAGATTTTGGTGGCGGTAGTGGTGTCAGGAAGGGGTCGATTTTAGAGACCTGCTTAAGCAGAAGGGAAACAGGCAAGCTGGGTGATTAAATTCGCAAAATCTGTAAACGATTCTTGAGCGAACCAAATGAAAAGGATATTTAGGGTAAAGGACTTAAAACGCACCAACACAGTAACGAAAAAGTAACGAGTCATTGAGACGCTGATGTTGACGAAACAAAATACGCTTGCTGTGGACGTGGAGGGTTGTTAAAGCTGGCTGCTACGTCGGTTAACGACTGCTGACCCGCTAAATGTGATGAGCCTCTGAAGTACCGTGTGTCGTGGCTGAGAGGTAAGTAGGTAAGTGGCATGAGTCTTAAGAAGAGGCTTTTTTTTTACCACATTCTGGTGTGCAACGCCCGAGAAAGCAGTTCCAACGAAAACAAAAGGGAGGGAGAGAAAATTGTACGCCATGAAACACCAAAGGGGGGAAATACGGAACTCTGTTTTCGACCCTCAGCTATTTCCAGAGTTACGGCGAATATGGAGCGAAAGAGGCCACCAAGATATACGACGGCTGGCGCCAAATGCTCGACGTGCAAACGCTGCGCCTTCTTCGCTGTAGCAGCGTCGTCTTATTCGCCATATCGTGTTCGATTGTTTCGCATAGCGTTGACATATTCCCTGGTCCAATGTTCGACGAAGGAAGATCCTGAACAGATCCTCCTAAGGTAAACGTCTTTTGTGAGACCTCTCTGGTGCTTCGGTCGAATTGTGTCAGGTTGAATCCTGAGGGCAACAAGAAGTCTATTACCGCTGCCTTTGAAGAAAGCCTTCTGTCCGACTCATTATGAGCATAGTGAGCCTGACCGTGAAAAGACGATTGCAGTGGAGACTAATGTGCATTTACATAGGCGTGCGGTAACAGGGCATCGCATTTGTCCTGTGGATCAATATGTAACTATCAGAACATACTATAAAAACATTTTAATATATGAGAAACATAGATAAGGGAAATCTAATTCCATTCTCTAAATATCCGAGTGAATAACGGCTTTGATTAATAACGCAAAAACAGCGGCTGCCACCCGCAGACCTATAATTATTCGTGAAAACATTGTGACTGTTAAAAACCATATTCTTCAGTTCCTCCCTATTGTAGTTTCTCTGCGCATCTACTTGTAGATGAACTATTATTATTATTACTCTTGCTTCAAGCGTCAAGTACCACTCTGTAGTGACCCATAATTCTAATCGAATTTTTATCGCTCATAGCAGATTTTTATTACCCGTGTTTCACCCTGTGCCTCCTTTGCTTCTGCGCCCATCGCGTCCGATCTTCAACGAGCTCATAATTACGCAACGATTACACAGAGTAATCATTCTGCCTTCAAGGGCTAGAATCCTCCGTGCATTCAACGCGTCCACCGATCTACGGTCATCACAACTTTCGTCAAAGTAACCCTTTCGCTCTAATCTCAACAGCCGATGGCAGGGAGTTTGCCGCCGCCGCCGCCGCCGCCGCCGCCGTCGCCGCCGCTGCTATTCAAGCGCGAATCGTTGCGCTCATTTAAATTTCGAATGATTTCGCCATACCGCGCGCAAGGTGCGCGCTTTGACATTCCCAACCCTTTGAGGCGGTCCTTGCATTTACTCGCCAGCAGGGCGCTAAGAACGTCGTGGAGCAATGGGCTCACCAACTAATGAACGCGTTGTGCTAGCGCGGGTGCTAGCGGCTGAAGGTTGCTCATTGGGTAGCGGTTTAACTTCTATACACTGTTCAGCTCCGTAGCGGCGTGTGCAGGGGCGTCTCGACAGCATCGACTAGGTTGCCTCTACCTAAGGCGGCGCTTCCTTCGCTGAATATACACTGCAGCCTATCTGGTACATTGTTAGTTCTGCAAAGAAAGACAACTTTGAAGGTTAATGGGTACCACCTGCTGATGTTGATGCTATGTCGAACCTGATCAGTAAAAATTAGAGAGGGTAACTTCGAATGTTGTCGGTGGGCCGAGGTCCTTGCCGAGAAAAGGACGAAGCTGTGCAAGGGAATCAAATATTTCAAGTGGGTGGGCCTACCGCAGATACGAAAGGTTCGCTCTGAAGTGATGAACGGCCTTGGCGAGAGAGAAGGGTTGGAGAAAAGGTTGCAACGGTAGTATTATTTATGCAGCGACAAGAACGCCATGACTACGACGGAGTTGGACAACATAGCATGAGGACGTTACGCATGGCGCGTTTTCTAATTATCAATGCTAGCTGCTCTAGTAAGCTAATTAGTAAAAACAGCATAAAACAATACAAGGATTAGACAATAGACCCAGAGTATATAATACGCGAAAATACGATGTTTCGTTGATAGACGTGTTTCGCGTTCATGCAAAAAGATCCACGAACGTACACGCATTTATAGTGCAAGTTTAATTTTCAGAACACTGCTCTTTTTTTTCTGTAAGGTAAGTTTCGTAACTCTATATCGTCTTTAGAAACCAGCTCAAAAGTTCACTCCTGCTTCGGCCCTATTGCCGACATTGACTACTCGTTATGTGCATAAACTACAGTATGCATACTATATCATACAGTACAAACGTTAATAACGGGTCGCCGTACTCATCCCGCTAAAGAAACCATATTTCGGGATTTCCGCGGCCTGCCCAGCTGACAGCCCGCTATCAGTGGCTAACCCAGTTAGCTAGGGTTAGAACTGTAGTTTGAAATGCTCAACCATAGCTAACGCATATAAATGACGATATTACTGACTATAGGGACCTCTTCCCGTCAAGCTAATACTGGGTCTCTTCCTGTCACACAAATACTGGGTGGGTCAAATGTCTCCGAACCGTTTAAAAAAAATTGCCAACTAGAGATTATTCATTTCACGTTCGCTTAAATAGCGGAAGATACGCAAAGATTGCGATAAGGGGCAGATTCGGCGGTTTTACACGTTTGTAGTAACAAGGGCGGTTTTTTCAAACTGCCCAAAGACTTTTAGCCCACCCAGTAGATTTGGCACACACTCAATTGTATAGACGCTGCTGGTACACCGCGGCACGAAAACCTTATGCGCACACGCGCATGCACAGGCAGAGTAGTTCGGTGGACACTGCGTCCAAGTCCTTAACGATTTGGATATATGGCCATGATATAACCAACATAAAGAGATTCTGCGACTAAACAATGGTATTGGCCCAATGAGTTGGTTGTCATAGGCCTTGAGCAAGCGAGCTAAAAGGAATTGGGTCCTGGCTTGATCCTCGGTGGCAATCCGCAGCCCCGTTAGATTCCGAAGACCGCTGAAGCAGCAGCAGCAGCAGCAGCAAAAAAGGCAGGCGAAAACCTAAAGCCTCTCCCGATGGAAGGTAGTGATGAAGCTACAGTTTCTTGGCATTGAATTTATTAGCGGTGTGATCTTAGTTTCCAGCTGCACCTTCTTCGACCTGAGTTGTAGCCATATAGGTTGATGTGTGAAAACTCTTGCAAACTAATTATGAGCAGCGCTTAGAGATCATACCAGAGAAGCTAATATACGGTCTGCATGCTATCGGTATAGTATATTATGTTGAATGTCGTAAGTGATTCAGGTATTGTTTATATGGTATAGCAAAGGTTTTATAGGTGATTATAGAGGGGATGGCATAATTTGTTCATTCTTGTTAAATACGTGTAAGATATTGCAAGCATCTTATCACCGACTACAAATAAATCTCATGGTTGTCAGCAGTTAGAATAATTGTAGACGATTTTCGCTTAACGGCCAGATAAAATGGCAAACAATGACACGGTTGGTAATAAAGATATTGCAAGATTTTCTAAAAAGCAAAAGGACAACATTGTTTCGCAGCCATTGTGGACCGTCACTCGCTGCGCATGGTCTAACTGTCGAGCTGGCCTTATTTTAGATTTCGCCAGTCAGTGGACAACGTTGTACATCGGCTTATAGAATCGTACTATAATAACGTTTCTATGCGATGTTATATCAGTCATCGTAGAGACGAAGAAGCAATATTCGTCTGCTAGCGAGAGTGACCGCGGGGCGGAGCGATTCGGTCCGCACGCGGGTGCAAAAAGTTCGAAAGTCCGGTGGCTTTCATAGTCTAGCGCAAGGGACAATAAAACAAGCATAACTTTCATTAGCTTACACTACGATGGGGTAATGCTGCTACCCCCCCCCCCCCCCGTGGGTCCAGTGGGTTCGTTATGTGCAGTTTTGCTGCTTGTATTGTTAGATTAGACTGGAGATCAAGTCTAGGTTAACCAGCGCACGACCAGGCAGTTAGCCGGTAAAAAATTATGCCAGGCAAGGGCCGAGCGTCTTTTGGAGGTGAGCGCATGCAATATGTCGTAATAGACAATAGCATCAATGTAGTCCAACAGCTACTGTCAGGCATTGTGAGAGAAGTACAGTTATGTGTGCGTGGATGGTTCCGCGGATTTGACAAGATGACCGCACGCTGCTCGAGTCTAGCAGGCACGCGATGCAATTTTTACAGGGGTGCCTCGTGACCGCCACTGGCTTAAGCCTATAAGGTAAGCTATATGGAAAGTGAAGTCAGATCTGAGCTAGGATAGGTTAAGTTAGGTCAGGTCGGGCTTACAGTATAGCGGCAGTTTTCGTAAAGCGTGTTTTTTCGAGAGGGGTTCGGAGGTTTTTTCTCGCTTTTTCCTTTTTCTTTCGTATTTTTTTCATCTCACAGCCTAACTGACTATTGGTCCACAGGAAGCTTAGTGGGTTCGACTGGCTGCATGGCCAAAGTTAGGGAGTGGTCTATGCTAACAGCGCGCTACGTTGGTCATAGTAGTAGTGGTAGTAATAATAAGAGGTTTGGTTGAATTGCTTAGTCATTCCTATGGGACTGGCGCTGAAGATTAGAACGGGGTCTTCGTTAGGGAAGTCGACGGGGGTTCTTACTTGGGGATAAAAGAAGAACCTAATCGGCTAGTCGTATCCAAGATTGCAGGCGAGCAGTTCCCTTTCTCTCTGTCTACGCGGTGCTCCGGGTGCTTCAAGCTGACCGTTGGTGGTCTGCGTAACACCGATCCCACGTTGGTGGCATTGTACGAAACGAAAGGAAACGCTGACGCATACGACGGCCCATCGCGTCCTATAGACAGAGGAGAGGAGAGGAGAGGAGAGAGCTACAAGGGGAGAAAGCCAGGGCCAAGTCCCATACGATCGGAAGAAATAGGCGAGGGGGAAGAGGGGGGGGGGGGTAAAAGCACTAGGCGGGGTCCATATTTGCATGTTGATGTTGACTAAACTGCAAAAAAAAATAACGGCAAAAAAAGCGAAGTGAGTGGGGAAGGGAGGGGTAAAAAGAAAGGAAATATCCACCTGGAAACTTGATCCGGTACAAAAACGAAAAACTTTTGAGAAACAGAGGTGTTGAACCCTCTCATCATGGAGAAAGTGCACCGAGGGGTGGTCATGAAAATACATACTTATTTTTGTATAAGAATGCATAAGAATTATGACGATTAGTGGTAAGCTTATCTGTTTCAGTATACTGAAATCTGCAGTGCTGCTCTATTAAATACAGGTGTCATGACGTAAAGTTGGTAAAAGAAACTCAATTCCAGTAGTAAATATAATTCGACTTAGAAGCTGCGAAAGGAGACCGAAAAGAGTGTATGATAATTACCATATACTACTAGTTTCGTTATGGACCAGTTTCTAATAAGTTTTCTTATGACACCAGTAATTATTTCTCCTCGTAAATGTAAACTCCGCTAAAATGTTAAGTTCTAAGTTCACCTTGCAGCTGCCCACTTGGATCAGACGAGATCCGAACTACTCTGGCGCGCGATTGTTTCTACGAAGTAGCTTAATCTATCCTAACTCGTGTTAGTTTCTTAAGCCTGGCCATTCCCGGCTCTATTCGTAATTGTAGAAAACTCAGTGCTATAGCGATGTAAATCGATGTGGTATCCCTATTCGCATCGGAAGGACCAATTCTGGACGTCGAAATATAAGCAGAGAGGATACTACGGATACATAAAATAGAGAGACCTCAATGGATTTATATAATTCCATCTATATAAATAGAGTTCTCAAATCGAACGCCTCAAAAATCCAATAAAATACAGGTTAAGGTCTCTGTATTATGCTTAGCCTCTTTACCTATTATGGAAAGCGCTGAAAACCGGGCGCCCTGCCCTGGCTGGCCTAGCTACTTCAGTCGTTACCGCTTGATTGCATATGACTTGTATATGATAACTTGCAATTTACATTGTGGTGACTAAACGAACTGTATTTATTAGTTTTTATCGCCAGCGAATAAATCGTGGAGCGTGATATTATTCTACGTTTTCAAGATAATCTCACGCGAATCACGATTACGCCGATTGCTTTCGTGTGTAAGTACACCTCTGAGCAGATATCTCGTAGTCCGCCATCTTTGCGTACACTCAATCTACTCGACCTGATATGGATCAGACGCGAAATAGGGACAAACCCTTAGATAGATGCATGTTCTAAGTGACGTTGATTGCTCGAAACAACAACAACAATAATATTGGCGCTGACAACGGCAGCCGTAGCGTCAGCATCTACCGGCGAATCGTCTGCAGAAACGGCATCAAATAGATATTTAACATTGTCGAATTGCGGTAAGGATCAGACATTCAGTTGGCATTTACAACGCTCGTCGGACTATGTGCGTCCAATTATTTATCGAATAGAAATTCCTTAATTTTCATTTACGATACGCGGCAGACGACGAAAGTAACTATTGGCAATCAGTTGTGTAACGCATCCGCTGGCTGAGCGACAAAGAAAGCGTGTTTATGTTTATAAATCTGTCTTTGTATTTTTTTTTTTTTATGTAAATTTCCATTGGTCCTAGTTCTAGTTTTGGTTCGAGCTTCATGTCGATTGCGTTTGTTGTATCTATGAAATGAA